TACTTGAAATGTATCTTTACCATATGCCAAATTTCCATGAGTATTTGAGTTTATTTCTAGACTTGCATGTCTATGTCATTGATCTATCATACTATTTTTTTTTTTTTTTGTGAGGAAGATCAGCCCTGAGCTAATGTCCATGCTAATCCTCCTCTTTTTGCTGAGGAAGACCGGCTCTGAGCAAACATCTGTTGCCAATCCTCCTCCTTTTTTTTCCCCAAAGCCCCAGTAGATAGTTGTATGTCATAGTTGCACATCCTTCTAGTTGCTGTATGTGGGAAGCGGCCTCAGCATGGCCGGAGAAGCAGTGCGTCAGTGTGTGCCCGGGATCCGAACCTGGGCCGCCAGTAGCGAGCAGAGTGCACGCACTTAACCGCTAAGCCATGGGGCCAGCCTATCATACTATTTTAACTTTATAATATGTTTAATATCTGAGAGGGCTAACATCTTTCACTACTGTTACTTTTTCAGAAATTTCCTGACTAGTTTTGCTTGTTAGTTTTCCAAATGAATTTTTAAAATCAATTTATCTGGGGCCGCCCAGTAGCGTAGTGGGTTAAGTGCGTGCGCTCCGTGGCCTGGGCTTTGCAGGTTCGGATCCTGGGGGCACACCAACGCACTGCTTGTCAAGCCATGCTGTGGCAGATGTCCCATATAAAGTGGAGGAAGATGAGCATGGATGTTAGCCCAGGGCCAATCTTCCTCAGCAAAAATGAGGAGGATTGGCAACAGATGTTAGCTCAGGGCTGATCTTCCTCACACAAAAAAAATAAAATAAAGTAAATTTATCTATTTGTACTGGGATCCCAATAAATTTATAGATTAACTTGGTTTCTTTTTGATACTCTTCCCATCCAAGATCATAGTATTTTTTCATTTAATCTTTACAACAACTCTAAAAAGTAGGGTCTATTATTATTATTCCCATCTTACAGATGAAAGAACTGTGTAACTTGCTTTGGGTCACACAAATCATTAGACATGGGAGCTGCCAGACTGGTCTTCCTTTAAGCTTCTGTCCCCCAAACAGAAATCTAGGGAGGGTGGGAGCCAGCTCCTCTTTGCACTTTGCTACTTAGTAGCTGTCTGCCTCCAAAGCCCTGTGCTCTCATCTGCCATGTTCCACCGCCTCTCTTGCACTGGACAGTTCACCAGCAAAGCTAGGCTTTTAAATTAACGACGCAAATTCAAGTGCTACACAAAGGGTGATGTTCACATGGGGCTGAGGCAGTTGGGGAGAAACTTCTGGAAGAAGGAAAACTCAAGGTAGACTTTGGACAGTCAGGCAGAATTTGGATGGGTGGAGAAGATGGGAATGCACAACCAGCAAGAGGAAATGGGTGAACCAATTTGCCATCTAATTGGGAAGGAGTGAGGGTGATGATGGGAGTTCTTGTTGGACCTGAGGATAGAGAGGGTCTCTCTGTCCTGCTCGTGAAAAGGCATCTTAATTCTCCCTGAATAATCTGCTAATAGAGATTTGGGAGATGGATGTAAATTCAAAAAGTCTCATTTACCTTCTGCCTGTGAGGGGATGTTGCCATTCCACGTGACTCAGGTGCAGAGGCAAAGCTCTTGCAGGAAGGGCCTGGCAGCTGGTTTTATGGGCAGGGCATAGGCTTGCACGTGGATCACTGAGCCCCCCACGGCCTGCGATGGGGACACAAATCTAAAGGAAACAGAAAACCATTCCAGAGTCAACCTTAGTCAGGGTGCAATGCCTCTGGTGGCCACTTGGCTACTTGCCCAAGGACCTAGGGATAACTCACCCTTTTAGCCGTTGGTCGATGGGGGAAAGGCGAGAGCCTGGGCCCCCAGGACTGAGAGCAGCTACTCCCTTTGCCAAAGATAAACAAAGCCGGACAGTAGCTAAACTGGTAAGGCCAAATTTTAACCAGTAATATACTATTGCAATAGGGAAGAGGGTCCAGCACGAACTGAACTCAACTTCGATTTGCACAGAATGGGCATTTTAAAGGGAAAATGAGGGAGTACGTAGAGAGGTGAGCAGGGTCTCAATAGAGTCAGGGAAATGAAAAATTACACAGGGTTGGTCAGTGTAAATGCTGATTAGGCCGGTTGTGTCTGTTAGTTGGCAATTATCAAAGTTAGAATGCTATCCTTCCACAGAGACTGGGAGACAGAGGCCTATCCTTAGTGATGATTACATTTCCAAGGAATGGCTTTCAGGTCCTTGGGAAAGACACTCCTGAGTTGTAGGAGATACATGTACATCTCAAAGAGACAGAGGAAGAAGTCACAATTGTAAGCCCTTTTTAGTAAATACTCTAAGAAGGGGTGGTCAGGGGCCTATCACCAGGTGTTGGCTAGAACAAACACTAAATTCTTTTGGCAGCCTTGAGATTTATCAGACAGGCACTTTAAAGGGGGCTAGGGCCATCCTAGGGATGTGGCTTTGAACTGTTAGAAGCTATGTTATTGTGTTTGTCTTTTAATTGGGGGGGTGGGGGGTAGGTGAAATCATTTGTGTTGAGAATGTAGTTTTTTATTTATTTATTTTTATTTTTTTTAATTTTTATTTATTTATTTTTCCCCCAAAGCCCCAGTAGATAGTTGTATGTCATAGCTGCACATCCTTCTAGTTGCTGTATGTGGGACGCGGCCTCAGCATGGCCGGAGAAGCAGTGCGTCAGTGCGTACCCAGGATCCGAACCTGGGCCGCCAGCAGCAGAGTGTGCCCACTTAACCGCTAAGCCACTGGGCCGGCCCAAGAGTGTAGTTTTTATAGGCCAAGCTTGAGGCCTGTTGACGAAGAGGGCTCAAAGGAGCCTGGCTAGAGTTTGGTCAAGCAGAGAACTTTTGTCAGCTTACAGCTGAAAGAGTCTGGGATTGTGCCTGAGGGTGATGGTCACCCTCTGGTGAAGGGTTTCCCCTTCAGAGGTTTGTAGTTCCCAGAACATCAGGACAGCAGGTGGTAAGGAGAGTCTACCTGGGTAGGTATGAGAATCACTCTCAGATATTTGACACGTCAGGCATCTACCTCCCCACCTCTCACTCCCCTCAGCCTGTTTTAGGTCATAGCCCACTCAGAGGCAGTGGATTCTACCGAGCTAGAGTAGGCGTTTGAGATCCCCTGGTTTGCATCCATAGCTCGGGGGATAGCACCAGGTATACCTCTGCTGCCCCACTTCCAAACAGAAAGTCTTCCCAGCTTTAGAGAGAATGATACCAGCTCAATACAAGGTTGACATAAGGGAAGCCATATTGTAGAAAAGAAACCATATTGTAACTTTGAATGACCTGATTAATTAACCCAGCTGGATATGCACCTTCCAGGAGATATACATGCTCTATAGATTTTTGTGGCCCCTCCAAGTTGTGATAAGTTGATAACTTTTTTCTTTTCAGTTCCTTGGAAATGTGATGACCCCCGGGCAGAGAGTCTATGATGACAGCCATCATCAATGACAACTGAAAGATCTGAGTATAGGGCATGGCTCTGGTCTCTGATGAGTGTCCAGTAAAACAAAAGATTATCAGGAACTAAGACCAGACATCTGCCCCAACCCGAGACCAGCCCCCTATATAACTGGCCTGTAGTCTTTGTTCTGTGAGATGGTTCTTTCTGACATTAGTCAGCCATCTTCCCCCTTGCTAGCAAGCTGTAATAAAATCCCTTTCTTTCCTACCACCTTGCCTCTCGACTACTTGCGTGTCTTGGGGTAGGCAGATGACCCACCTTGGGCAGTAACAGGAACACCAAGGGCCAAGGTCTGGAACACCTTTCAGTCAGCTGGCCCACACACTATTTTCCCTTTACTGGATGAACTGATTTGTTTATTTAATTACAATTAAAAAGAGCATTTCTATGCTAAACTAGACTGGGCCCCCGCCTTCCATGGCCTGGCTCTTCAGAGGCTATTATTATACTACAGCAGACCCATCCTTGAAGGACAATGCCAGAACTCCAGCCAACAAACACCACCAGCAGTAGTTCTCCAAGTGGTTCCCCAGAGCAGCAGCATCAGTGTCACGTGGGATCTTGTTAGAAATGCAAATTCTCAGGCTCAACTCTGGAGTTAAAGAAACAGCAACTGGGGGTGTGGGCGAGCTGTGTTTGAACCAGCTCTCCCGGAGAATCTGATACACGCCAAAGTTTGAGAACTACTGACCTATAGGCCTCCCCTCTGCCAGAGAAGATGAAGCGTGGAGGGCGAAATGCAGTCCACCTGGAGCTTCATTAAGGATTTGAGCTAGGTTTGGAAGTTGGAGAAAGGATGTGCTAAGAGAAGACATGGAAAAATATTTAAATGTGTGCACTTTACCCTAAACAGTAGGGAGGTAAGGGCATCCAACAGAAAGAGAATGAGACTGGAATAGGAAGGTGCACCAGTGGGTGAGCACTCCAGGAAATCCACAGACACTCAGCCCGCTTTCCCCAGGAGGGGAAAACCCCATGCCCACGCAGCTCCTGACGCTCTCTCTCCTCAGGCCTGGGTGCAGCGGCCCCACCGCAGCTCCGGCTTGGGGAGCCCGGGCACGAAGCCGAGCTGGCCTCAGGTCATGATTCTTTGCGAGCGCGAGTGGGAACGGTACGCGGGACGCGGTTCGCGGACCGGAGGCTTCTCCTCCAGTCGGGCTTGGCCGCAGCTGACCACAGCCGCGTGTGAAAGGCATCCTGGGCTAGTCTGCACCTCCCTGGAGATGCAGGTATTCAACCCTGGTCCGGGGCACCGCAGACCCCACATTCTGTGTCTCAACCGCCGGGAGGCCGGCCTTCTGGGAATGGAGATTTCCCATCCCCCCTCCCCTCCTGCGCGGTAGACCCTCTGAGCCCCGGCCGAACTACAAAGCCCACAATACCTAGGGCGTGCGCGCGCTGTTTTCTGGGAGTAGTAGTTCTGGATGCGGGGCACCCCTAGCGGCCCAGCGCCGGCTGGACTCCATATCCCAGCATGCCCAGGGGCTTGCGGGAGGAGGTGGGAGGGGAGAGACAGGGAGGATGTGAATGGGGAGGGGGCAGCGGCCCCCTTCCCCCACGCTTCTCTTCAAGCCGGGCTGGAGTAGGGGGAGGGGCCGGCTGAGGCGGTGGCTTGCTCTGGGAGGGCAGGGCAGGCAAAGGCGGGACTGGCCCGCTGCGGGCGGACGAGGGAGCCGCGGAGCTAACGGGTCCGGACGCCCGCGGCGGCAGCTTTCTGCACGGGTGGAGGCGGCGGCAGGAGCGGCGAGCATGGCCCGCGCGGCGCCGTGCGCTGACTGAGGTGCGCGGGCGGGAAGAGGGCGGGCGGGATGCGGGGCGCTCCGGGCCCCTCGCTGCCCTGAATCCACTCTGCGCGGGGAGCTGGCTCGGTCCAGCGGCCCAGACCGGGCCGGTCCACCCCGGTAACTTCCCTCGGGTCGGGGCCCTGGGCTCCCCCGTGGGGGCGGAGGTCCGCTTGCCGTGGCCTCAATCCCGATCCCCGCCTTCTGTTTCTGCACATCAAGCCGCTCCCAGCCCTTCAGGCGCGATTGTTCCGCTCCTTGATAGCAGCCGCCAGCCCCAGCCCTAGGAAGCGCTCCCTGCCCCAGTCCTGACTTCCAGTCCGTTACCTAGTTGGTACCCCCAACCCCTGCGCGCTCCCGGCCTCTGCACTACGTGGAGACCCCTGCCCTGCTCCTCTTGGCAGGGAACTGTCTTTGCACCATCAACGCCTCTCTCCTCTTTCCCCTACCTGGCGCTGCCCCCTAGCCACCCCCCAGTGGCCCAGTTCTCTCTGATAAGACCTAACACCTTGACCTCCTTCCCACTTTGGAGAAACTGAGGCACCCCACAAGCCAGGAAGTTGGCCAAGGCTGTACGCCAGTCCTGTGAGGGCTAGCCTGAGCCCATGCCTTGCAATGGAAGAGTCATTTCTTCCCTCTAGTCATTCCTCTGTGACTGGACCGAACTTCCCAGCCCCTTGCTGCACCTCTGGGCTGAGCTCTCATTGGTCTCCCCTTAGATTTCTGCCACTTCTTTTTCACTCTCCTCCTTCCGGTCTCCCACTTCTGGCCCTCTCCGCCTGTAGAGAATCACCCACCCGTTGCTTGTTTGCTCAAGTTAGCCTTTCGATTTCTATCTCTTGCTCACTGCATCTATCTCCCATCTTGCCTCTTGCTTTACAGCTGCGTAAAGCACTGTAGAACAGAGTCTTAGGTGCTTTTGGGGGAAAGGGGAGAAAGAGGTACTGGTGGTGGAAAGGGACCAGGAGAGGGGTTCAGGGCACTCTTGGGCCCCTGGGAAATAGTCATTTCTAGCCTGTAACTCAGACTCCCATCTTATCTTTGGGACAGTTGTCTAGAAGCTGGTTGGTCATCCCTTCCCTTTTTTCTTTTTTTTTGTGAGGTAGATCAGCCCTGAGCTAACATCCATGCCAATCCTCCTCTTTTTTTGCTGAGGAAGACTGGCCCTGGGCTAACATCCGTGCCCATCTTCCTCCACTTTATATGGGACGCCGCCACAGCATGGCATGACAAGCGGTGCATCGGTGTGCGCCTGGGATCTGAACCCGGGCTGCTGCAGCGGACCGCGCGCACTTAACCGCTACGCCACGGAGCCAGCCCCATGCCTTCCTCTTATTATGCCTGGTGGGCTCCAAAGTCCCTCTGAGATGGAGGGAACCTCCTGTATTGATGGAGATGGCGGCATAAGATGAGAGTGGGAGACCACACCCCTAAGCTTCATCTTGCTTCTGCTGCTAACTTTGGAGGGGGTTCCGGTTCAGGGAAGGATGCTTGCTGGGTGCCCTGAGCTCTTTGTGGAGGAGGGCACAGTGGCTGAGGCGGTGATCCCGAGTTTAGTCGTGGTGTCCAGGATTTGAAGGGAAGAGGGAACTGGGGCTCACAGAGGTGGCACAGACTTGCCTGTATAAATTCAGTGTTTTGTTTTCTCGTCTTTCTTTGGCTGATTTCCCTTTGGGTTGTCCCTTTCTAGCCCAATCCTCAGGTTCCTGGTGGGAAGTAGAGGGAGGGAGAGAAATCTATGAGCCATCAGGAGGCTTGGGAGGCTCTGGGAGTTCCTTGGGGTCCTGAGTGAGCAATCTTGATCTGAACCAGATGGTTCCCTGCTTCAGTATCCCCTCTCATATCCCTCTCCTTTGGCTGTGAATAGGACGCCTTTAACCTTGTAACTTGAGAATGGAGGAAGGGAGGCCAGGGGGCCAACTGTCTGTTTATGTTTATGTGTCTGCATCTGCACACTCGAAAGCCACATGCCGGGGGCCTGTGGGAGTGACCCTGCCCGAGACTGCGTTGTTATGATGTGCTGTGGCATGCTCATGGTCCCCTGGGAACTTTCTGAACCCAAACCCCACGTCAGGCCAGTTTCCAAGCTCCTAAGAACCACTGGGTGTAGCCTCATGGGAACATTTCCCCACATGCCTAAGGCACACCTCAGGGTGAGGATCCCTCTTCCTGAGAAAGCTACCTGGGCTTCAGGAGTCGGAAATAGCAGCACTGGGGGTGGTGTTCTCAGAACTGGTGTTCTCCTTTCCCCAGTTGTGACAAGAGAAGGTCTGAGGGGTTGGGCCTGGGGAGAGGGGTGGGAAGCCAATTCCTCTGCCTTGTGCTATACCACATCCTGCCTTGTGTATTTGTGTACTTGATTTTGGCCCCCATTAGATTGTGGAAGTTCTTCAAATGTGTCCTCATTTCTGAAATACCACCACCCAGCTCGGTCCTTGGTGCACAGTAGGTGTTCAGTAAATGTGTGAGTTAAAGTGGAGGGCCCTACGGTTAAAGGTTTAGGGCAGGATTCCTCATACTTGATCAGGCATCAGAATCCCCTGGAGAGCTCTCTAAGGCACAGATTGCTGGGCCCTACTCCCACAGTTTTCTGATTCAGTCAGTCTGGGTGGGGCCTAGAATTTGTATTTCTGCCCAGCTCCTTGGAGATAACACTCTGAGAGCCGCTGGTTTGGGGCCATCACAGTTGCTTGGGAGATTAATCTAGGCAGATGTAAAGTCTTAAGAGAGACTTCCTTCCACTTTGCTTCCCCACCCAGGCTGTTCTGGCAGCTTCACTGGTTTGGCCTTTTCCTTTCATGCTCTTGCTGCCCAGCGTTGGCTAGGTTAATGGCAGGGGTGACTTATGGTGCCTCAGCTCCCAGTCCCACTGTAACCACATAGTAGACACTGCCCCTTGGTTATTTGAAGGAAGGCCGCACAAAAGCAGGACATTTAGGAACCAGGGCTTTGGAAAAGGGGTGGCTGCATGGACATGGGGCAGCAGACTCTGAGGCAGGCCCTCGTCTGCCCTGTGCCCTGTGTTACAGACTGGGCAGGTCGGGGTGCCTGCAAAATAAAGTCCTGCCATGACCACACACTGGACAGGATGCCTAGGAATCTCCAAAATTTAGAAAAGCAGGAGGAGTCACTTACATCATGCTTTTACTTTGTGAAGCATTTTCCACCTGTTGTTTTTTAGGCCAATGAGAGGTTTATAAGGCAGATATAGACCCAGGTAGGGTTACTGAGGAGCAGAGAGATGCACTGTGGGTTACACAGCAGGCCCCAGGACTCCTGATTCCAACCTCTGATGGGGCATCTGCTAAACCAGTAGCTACTAATAGCTGGAATAATGGCTGCTATTCACTGGGTGCTTACTACTAGCCAGGCATGTGCTAGATGCTCTTAAACGTTAGCTTGTTGAATCCTCACAGCAACGTTGGGAGGTAAGCCTTATTGTCACTTTTTCGTTGATGAACTGAGACTTACAGAACTTTTGAGACTTGCCCGAACTCAGCGAGTAAGTGGAAGATCTGGAATTCAAACTCAGGTCTTTCTGGGGCCAGCCCGGTGGCGTAGCGGTTAAGTGTGCACGCTCCGCTTCGGCGGCCTGGGGTTCGTGGGTTCGGATCCCTGGCGTGCACCGATGCACCGCTTGTCAAGCCATGCTATGGCGGCATCCCATATAAAGTAGAGGAAGGTGGGCACAGATGTTAGCCCAGGGCCAGTCTTCCTCAGCAAAAAGAGGAGGATCGGCATCAGATGTTAGCTCAGGGCTAATCTTTCTCACAAAAAAACAAAACAAAACAAAAACAAACTCAGGTCTTTCTGATGGCACACCCCATGCTCTTTGTCACTCACTGTCTGTCTTACCCAGCAAACCTGTAATTGTCCTTTGGATTGTCTGCCCCCAGAGCCTGGAGAATTTTACTGAGCCTGGAACTATGCTGGGTGTTGTGGAGGAGACAACAATGACTGAGTCACTGTCCTCTGGGAGGAGGATAAGACAAATACACCATTTCCTACAGTGGAAGGCAGAGGGACAGCCAGTGGCTTGTAGGTTTAAAGGAAGTAGAAGTCATCCCTATAGAGGGCTCAGAAGAGGCCTTTGGGATGGGCCCTGAAGAGGCAAGTAGAGTTCCAGCAGTGCCTGTGGGCTGGAGAGATGTGCAGGCCAACAGGTGCAGAGAGAGGCCATCACGGCACATTTAGGGAGTTTTCCCTTTTGGTTGGAGCATGGGGGATGTATTTCAAAAAGTAATGAGAAGATCCTGTTTGGTTACAAGCAACGCTTGGTCAACTTCGGCAGGAAAGGGCTTCCTTGGAAGACTGTGGGAACTCCTAGAATCAGAGGGATGACTCAGGACCCAGGTCCCCTCCACAGTCTTGGAGTGGGTGCAGCAGGAACCAAAGGCCAGCCTTTTCAGGGTACCACTGTCGCCAGGATAAATCTGCTTCAGCTGTGCTCTGTAATTTTGCCACCAAAGCCTGGGATTCACATCCCAAGGAGGAAATGTCTGGTTGGCCCAGCCTGGACCTTGCTCCCTCCCTTGGCCAGGGAAGGGCTTGTGGCATGGTGGCCAGTCCACCCAGACTTCATCCAAAAGCTAAAGTCCCTAGAGAAGAGGAAATGGACACTGCAAGAGATCAGTGATGAGGACTTGAATTGGCAGATGGCAAAGGAGGTATTTAGTTCTGACAAGTTTCTGAGCAGGCGGAGGGCAGACTGGCAGCTGGGTATGGCTAGGTCACAAGGGGGCCAGGAAAGAAGGGAAGGAGGACATGGAACACTAGATAGGGTCCAGGTGAGAGGTAATGAAGGCTGGGACTTGGTAGTAGAAATGGAAAAGAGGAGACTCTAGAGAGATTGTGAGTAGACATTATCTTCTGGAACAGACCCTTGATTGGCTGGGGTTTGACATTTCAGTGCTTGGGTGATGAGGGTTGATTCTTTAGCTGAAATAGGACAGTCAGGAGGAGGTAAGGTTTGCAAGAGAGGACGATGTGTCTTTATTTC